ATCTGGAAAGTTGTTGTGAACCACAGAAATAAATAAAAAAAGGAATAAATTGAGAATATGGAATAAACTGAGAGAATGAAATTAATGAGAAGAAATTTCTAGAAAATTAATTTATTTTGAGATTTAGAACTCGTTCAAATTAAAAACTTACAAAAATAAGAGTAAAAAAGTGTAGATGGTATCACGGCATTTGAGCATTTGAGCTCCAAATTAAAAAAAAAAAAAAAAACAGGGGTCTCCGCAGCAAATGAGATTCCGTGGTATTTTACGGCTTTGCGCGACCTCAAAGGAAAATCATCTAGATAGTTTCACCAAAATGTTTTCCCTTATTTCATGGCTTTTCCTTCAACGACCCTTCAGTAAAAAATATTGTAATTTAACGTGTACTTCAACACGTATAAAACATAAAGTCAACATTTAGATTATACCAAGATAATAAATACATAACTGCACGTTTAAAATAGTTTGTTACGCAAAATATTAATCTGGTTACCATTTAAAACGCAAACAAAAACATATCATAAGAAATAATCGGAACTATATTCAGATTATTTATTCAAATACACTTTTATTCATTGCAATAAGATAAAGCATATAAAGCGATCTACTTTTTATATTAAAATGATATTTTAATATAAAAACAATACACTAAAAACCACGTTGTGACACAAAGTACATTGCTTTATATGCTTTATCTTATTGCAATGAATAAAATGTGTCATATGTATATGTTATCTTATTGCAATGAATAAAATGTGTCATATATATGACACATTTTATTCATTGCAATAAGATAACATACACATATGCGTATGTTATCTTATTGCAATGAAGAAAATGCGTTATCTGTGTATGTTATCTTATTGCAATTAATAAAATGTGTCATATGTGTATGTTGTCTTTTAATCATATATTATAAAAAAATTGTTTTTTGGTTTAGTTTCTCTTTTAAAGAGCTGACATTTTCTGAATATAGTAAAACTTTTGTTGTTTTCTTATTTATTCAAAGTTTTTTCAAACATTTTATCAAAATTTATTTTTACCAGTGTAATTTACGCTTTTATGATATTTTAATATAGCTATTAGTGCTGGTGATAAATCTATTTTTTAAAAAAGAAATAATAATAGTAAAGCCGTTCAAAATTGAAAACAATTATCACCTATTTAAATCAAAGGCAACGATTTTATTTTAAAAACATAAAAGGAAACAATTAATCGTTATTGATATTTATATTTATATTTTGTTTTCGCTTGTTACTTTTTTAATTGTTTGATTCTAGTTTAATATAAGATGAAAATAAGATGAATCAAAAGAATGACAAGATGAATCAAAATTTCTGTGTAATAAACACCGCTTTGATTTAAGATTAAGTGAAATATTCTTCTCGGCAACAATGTTTGGAAAACTTTTCCACAAAAATTCTGAATTGAATGAAAACTCTGTTTTGAATAAGATTTTGCTCAACAAAGTTGTTTATGAAAAATCACACAGAATACTTATGGTGTATTTCTTCAAAATAAGTTTTAAAACATTTTGGAGACATTTTATTTTAAACATGAACTGTAAAACTAGGTAGATGTTAAGTTTAAGAATATTTAAGGCACCAAGTAAAAGAGGTTCACAAGAAACATAATGTTAAATGTTTTTTTTTTGATTGCGAAAAGTATTAATCTCTAATAATGTAATTTTTTATAATCTAAATAAATGTCTCTTAGAAACCACCTTCTAACCACATGCTATATATACCTCGTATGTGCTATATACACCTCGTGTATATATCTTATATAAACCTCCTCAATGTTGTTTCATTTCACTACGACTTCAACGCATTTATTTGAAGTAGTACTTAGCAAAAAATTACGAAGCTATAATCTAAACCTTTTTTTTGTTAAACTTAAATACTCTTTCGCCATTTTTACATTTGAATTCTTAGCAGGATTTCTGCATTTAGTCTTTGAGCAATTTTTATTTTCAAATGTTTTAACTAATTTTAAAACATTTTTTTTTTTTACAAATTATCTTTTATTATTACAGCAGGTCAGTAATTTTTGAGAAGAACAAAAAATTGTGACACCCTATATTAGTTAGCACCAAGCATTGAAACTTACTTCTAAAGTGTTTTTTTAATTTTAGTCATTTAGATTGTTAGAAGTGACTTTGTTTCATGCAACGTAACATATTGTTTATGTAATGTTTATAAACTGAATCTAATAAATCTGATAAATAAATAAAACGCAAACAGTTCTTTTGCGGATTTCATTTGCAACCATAAAGTACCAGTTTCGAGACTAATTACCGGGTTGATAAATATTGATAAGTAGTACTATCGAAACAGATTGTCAAAACATCAGTTTAAAAAACTATAACCCTCTAGTTTCGAAGTTAAAAACAGTAATAAGTAAATAGAAAATAGTTTCGGTAGTAGTTGCTAACCAACATAACAAACAAATACTAATAACACTCGAAAAACTATTAGGTTGGAATTTACTTAACTGACATGACTGCAACTACAATTTTTACGGAAGTTACAAGCAACATTAACAATACGTTTCATGCGTTAGAAACCGTTTTGACACAAGTTGCGTGCATACTTTTTTAAAAATACAGTAACAAATATTTTTTACTACCATAACAAAAAATTGTTTGTTTTCTATGAACGTTGTTTTTAATGTAGTTAATAAAAGTTCTTTGTCTTGTTTCACAAACAGCAAACTTTCTGGTTCGCAGAATCCGTTTATTTCCTTAACTGTTTATTTAAACTACCTTTGCTTTTTGTTACTATTATTTAATGAATAATATACATTAAGCGATACACAGCAAATTCCTAAATCCATTGTCCATAGTTTAAAAAATTTATTTCTTAAAACAAGAAATATACTTCTTGTTTTAAGAAAAATATTTCCTAATAAGAAATGCAATTTTGCTGTGAATTGGTTTTTTAAATTAACTATCAGGGCCGACGACACGGGTTTCAAATCAGAGAGGCATAATCATCAATTTTTTATAAAAACCTCTATAACTAGAATTTTCTTTAAAAAAGAAAAAAAAAACATGGTCCGTCCCAGTGGGTAACGGACCTTTGAATAAAAACGTAAGCTTTTTATTAACTAGGGAAATTCGTATATTTTCCAGAACTTGCATTAGCAACGTTGAGTATTTATTCGTGTTTTTTATTATTAGAGCCTGGCTACCATCGTATTTTATTTAATACTTTCAGTATTATAGGTACAGTTACTAATATTGATTGTATTGAATAAATAAATCTGTTCTTTTTTTGCCGTTAGAACAATCGTGAATTTCAAATAATCCCTTCTTAGATTTTAAAGGTTTTTTTAATGATTAAGAAAAAAAGTTCAACGCCGTTATTTAAATTCAGCAAAGATCATTTGATTTTTTAAAATAATTTTTATTAAATGTATAAAAAAAAAAAAAAAAACATTTTTTTGCACGATATTAAAATACAGAACTGCATTAAAAATTTTCAAGCCTTTAAAATAAAACTAGAATCAAATTGCGAATATAAAATAGATCTAAGTTGCGAGAAAAAAATTTTTTAAATTAGTTTTAATTTTTTTAATTCGTTTTTAATAATGTTTCGTTTTTATCTTGCTTTATTCAGCCGTATCACATTTACAACCAGGGAGGCTGCTGAATCACAAACGTTCTGATTTCAAAGCCGGCATCTAACCACTGCGCCATGGGTGCTAAAAAAAGTGGGGTTTTTTACTGCAAATTTGTTTTAATCTTTTTATATTTAAAAGAAAAGATTGGTAGGTAATAAGTTAATGTCATACCATAATGATTGCTCGAGTTGGAAAAAAAACACCATACTTTGAGTGCTTCGAGTACTTGCATAAGGTGGTTATTTGTTCCCGTGATTTAAAATACATTAGGATCAGAGGGTTGCAAACGGTTTGATAAAGTATGAGGAAAGCATGCAAGCAAGTTTTTAAATAAAATACATTCAATAGACACATTCTGTAAAACTGACGTTTTAAGAAATATTGGTTTTTTAAAATTGAGTTCAAATTGCAAAAATTGGTTTAGGCAAAAATAAATTTTAAAACTCAATTATAAATACTTCTAAATATGCTAATAAATTCTATATAATGCTTCCATAAAATAAGTATGATTGTGAATTGGACAGGGTGTGTAATTTGTACAAAATTGAGGGAGAAAAGAATCATTTTAATAAAAAATTTCAGTAAATGAAATTCGAATTGCTTAAAATTTGGAGCCATTTTGAAAATAAAAATTTTACAAAAAAATAAAATGTAGTTTCACAAAAAAAACTTTCGTTGATTATATGAGGAGTGAATTTTCAAAAAGTGCGCGAAAATAAAAATCTTGAGTTTATTTCGTTTCCAAATTTTAGATACTAAAATCTGCTATCTATTTGAATATTTGATTTAATAATAGATTCTTGGTCCTAATAATAGATAGAAAAAATATTATTTTCTGTTGTTGTGCGCCTATAAGTATGGATAAGTATATATATTGTATATAGGCTTCCATTTTTTTTTCGATTTCTCCAAATCAATTTATTCAAGCTTAGTACGTTTGAAAACTCCATATTGACTGATATTTTTTAGTCAAATTTTTTTATTTTTGTTAATATATATTTATTATTACTAGTACTTGCGTGAATTAGAGACAAAATCTTTGACTCCTTTTCGATTAAAATCTGTACAAAAACAATTTAAAAATAGGATTTAACCCCACACCACCTGTTTTCGCGGAAGAAAAAAAGTTTCTTTTTAAGTATGCTATAATAAATGTTTGTACGAAGTACTTATGTTGTATTGTTATGTGTCTAGCTTTGTTAACGGATTTATGAGTTCCAGGAAACTGTTTTGTTTAGTAATTATTGTTATTAAGAACAAAATTGTTTTTTAAACTTTTTTTTTTTGTGTAAACAAATAATACCGTAGAAAAGGCTAGTTACGGACAAATCCTAATTGAAAAGCGTTTTTCTAACCGGAACAAGGTCATGTTTTACATTTTTGTCTTATAGATGATTTACATTTTAGATGCTTTAAGAAAAATTAAAAAAACTATTTATCAGGTGAATTTTTTTTGAATCTCAAAAATTTTGTAATTCATTTTTCAATAATAAAAAAACTTATTGTTGAAAAACTAAATTTTGGAAAAGTTTTTAAAGATTTATAGTTTTTTAATTCAAAATTGCAATTTTTCTAGAGTTTCTAGACCTATATCTATTTTTAAAATGTCCATTTTTCAAAATAGATTTAGCGTTTTTCTAAAAGGCGCTAAATCTATTTTGAAAAATCGACATTTTAAAAATAGATTTAGGCCTCATCGATTACGGAAATTTTAAAATAAATTTGTAACTATTTTTGGAATAAACTAGTAAAAGGTATACTAAATGTACTTGGATTTCCAATATTCAAATTAAAAAACTATAAAAACCACTTGCACAAAATTTTATTCTGATTAATATGCAGCAAAAAAACAGAAGCAAAAAAAAAATGAATTAAACCAAAAAGTACCGTAAAAAATTAGAAAAAATAAAAATTCCGGAAATCCGGAATTTTTATTGTTACTAACTTTTTATCAATTATATAACATTTTTTATAATTTTCAATATTTTTTTCAATATAAATTAATGTTGATAATATTGGTACGTTACCTAGAGAAAAGGAAAATTTTTTCCAAAAAAATCGGTGAATATTTTTATCTATTTTATATACCTCCGTAAATATTATTTTCTGTTGTTGTGCGCCTATAAGTATGGATAAGTATATATATTGTATATAGGCTTCCATTTTTTTTTCGATTTCTCCAAATCAATTTATTCAAGCTTAGTACGTTTGAAAACTCCATATTGACTGATATTTTTTAGTCAAATTTTTTTATTTTTGTTAATATATATTTATTATTACTAGTACTTGCGTGAATTAGAGACAAAATCTTTGACTCCTTTTCGATTAAAATCTGTACAAAAACAATTTAAAAATAGGATTTAACCCCACACCACCTGTTTTCGCGGAAGAAAAAAAGTTTCTTTTTAAGTATGCTATAATAAATGTTTGTACGAAGTACTTATGTTGTATTGTTATGTGTCTAGCTTTGTTAACGGATTTATGAGTTCCAGGAAACTGTTTTGTTTAGTAATTATTGTTATTAAGAACAAAATTGTTTTTTAAACTTTTTTTTTTTTGTGTAAACAAATAATACCGTAGAAAAGGCTAGTTACGGACAAATCCTAATTGAAAAGCGTTTTTCTAACCGGAACAAGGTCATGTTTTACATTTTTGTCTTATAGATGATTTACATTTTAGATGCTTTAAGAAAAATTAAAAAAACTATTTATCAGGTGAATTTTTTTTGAATCTCAAAAATTTTGTAATTCATTTTTCAATAATAAAAAAACTTATTGTTGAAAAACTAAATTTTGGAAAAGTTTTTAAAGATTTATAGTTTTTTAATTCAAAATTGCAATTTTTCTAGAGTTTCTAGACCTATATCTATTTTTAAAATGTCCATTTTTCAAAATAGATTTAGCGTTTTTCTAAAAGGCGCTAAATCTATTTTGAAAAATCGACATTTTGAAAATAGATTTAGGCCTCATCGATTACGGAAATTTTAAAATAAATTTGTAACTATTTTTGGAATAAACTAGTAAAAGGTATACTAAATGTACTTGGATTTCCAATATTCAAATTAAAAAACTATAAAAACCACTTGCACAAAATTTTATTCTGATTAATATGCAGCAAAAAAACAGAAGCAAAAAAAAATGAATTAAACCAAAAAGTACCGTAAAAAATTAGAAAAAATAAAAATTCCGGAAATCCGGAATTTTTATTGTTACTAACTTTTTATCAATTATATAACATTTTTTATAATTTTCAATATTTTTTTCAATATAAATTAATGTTGATAATATTGGTACGTTACCTAGAGAAAAAGAAAATTTTTTCCAAAAAAATCGGTGAATATTTTTATCTATTTTATATACCTCCGTAATTAACTCTGCGTATTACAGACAGAGGCGTCCCGAGGGATAGGGGGGAGGGGATTTCCCTAGCCCCCTACAAAATTTTTTAGTCGGAATTTCGGACACTGGAGTCGGCAAAACTGGATCTATAGTTGGCAGTCGGCGAACGATGATCTTTTATTTTTTAGATCTTAGTCGGCAAAAATAAATTTCTAGACCTTAGTCGGCAAATAACAGATATGTTACCTGCATCCCCTACCCCTCCTTTAAGATCTCTTCGTGACGGCCCTGAATACAGAAATAAATCGTTTTTTTCATTAATATATTAGTAATATTAATCAATATAAATTTATATATTATATATATATATATATATATACATTTATATATATATATATATATATATATATATATATACATATATATATATATATATATATATATATATATATATATATATATATATATATATATATATATATATATATAAAGGCGGACAAGTAGGTTTCAGGCGAAACGAGTAGTTTCAGGCATCCTGAAACTACTCGTTTCGCCTTTCAGGCATACGAGTAGGACGAGTAGTTTCAGGCATCCCCCTATAGAAGTCTGTAAAAACGAGTTACTTTTTACGCATAACATTTATTGAAAATTGAAATATATATATATATATATATATATATATATATATATATATATATATATATATATATATATATATATATATATATATATATATATATATATATATATATATATATATATATATATATATATATATATATATATATATATATATATATATATATATATATATATATATAGTGAAAGCGAAAGAATCTTTCAGTCAAATTATTCAAGCGTGAGAAATTTGTTTGCATAACACAATATTAGGCGTGGTTTAGTGAATTCTTTGCATTTGCACAACACTATTTTAAAGTAATTTCTGGCTGCTTTCACTAAAATTAATCTGTCATATTTACAAACTTTTTGCTTGTAACTCAATACTTCTCTAAAAAGCCACAACGTATTAACTCGGAAAATATGTTTATGAATATATAAAAAAGAACTTAATGCAAATTAAAAAAAACAACGAGCTCTTTTAATTTATGTTTAAAGTTTCTCTCTGTTTAAATACATTCAATTATTTTTGTGTGTGTTTATTAAGGTGCTTCAGAAGTCCTTATCTTATCATAAGGCACCACAGAAGTTCTCGCCTCCTGTCTTACCAATATTGTTTATTGGGCAATATTGTTTATTGGGCTGCATGTGATACTGGATGTAACGGCAGTTACGCGCACTCATGAAATTATTTAAGTTAAAACGGCAATTATTTAAGCCTACTTAAATAGATTGATATAAAGACACATGTCAGATAAAAAGTAGGGGGTGTATAACCCCCCCCCCCTCCCTACGAAAATCTTGTTCTTAATTAGTCAGGAAATTTAGACCCTGTAGTTGGCAAGTCTGGACTTTTTTTTGTTATTAAGGTGCTCCAACAAGATCAGAGAGCACCGTGGATGAGCGTTGATGCTTTCTTCCTTCCCATGTTGCATATTGGGCTAGAGCCGGCGTCTAACCACAATCCTCTTGGTTTTTTAAGATGGCAGTCGGCAAGTGTCAACCAACGAGGTCGTTATTTTGTTTTTAGGCGTTAGTAGGCAAAAACTAGATTAGTCAATCCCCCACCCCCCACCTATAACTTCCAGACATGAAGCAAACTCTATGTTTAGAAGTTAGCTCAATTTTTGTTAATTTGGTTTAACTTTAATAAAGTATCAGTACATATAAAAGTTTTTCTCTGATTATTTAGAACAAGTTCTGAACATCGTTTTAAATTGATGATTTGAAAATGCTTGTTTTTATATTCATGAAATATAAAAAAATATCTGTCATATCGGGCTGGATACTAGATAGTAAAATATCTAGTAAACTCAGGGTTGGACTGGTGAGGGGGGAGGGGGTTAGAAGTTAACCTCCCCCCCGGGCCCCTGCTATGTTTGGTCCTCTCGCTTGTCTCATGGGCCCCAAAAAAGATACCTAAAAAAAGAAAAGGTCCTCGATATGTAATATAGGGAAATTTTTATATAAAAGCTGGCCCTTATGTGTATGGCATCTATGTCTCCCTCCGGACCCCTAAATCCCAGTCCGACCCTGAGTAAACTCAATCGGATTTTTGGACGGATATTATACCTGGTAGATCTATAAATTTTACGCAGAAGAGCACAGTAAAAAACCTTGATTTTATTAGTTTCGCACTGCGCTTTCCTACGTAAAACTAGGACGATGTAATTTTAGCAAAAAAAGTTGGTGCTTGTTTTTTGCTAAATTCAGTTAATAATTCTAAATAATAAATGAATATTTAAAAATTAAAATATTTAAATATACAAATCATCAAACCAGACCCTAACTGCCCAAAAAATGGGAAATAAGAGCCTTGTTCAACTGGTTTGATAATATTTGTATTAAATCATCTTTTATTTTAATTTACTTTTATTTTCATTTGGTGCAAACTGAATCTTTTGATATGAACCTTACATTTTTTTTTAGGTTGCTCCACTCCTTGCGTGTATTGGCACAGCAATGACTTTAGCTGTTGCATCATCAATTCGAGCCTTTAGAGCCCCTGATGTTGTGTAAGTCTTATTCTTAAAATAAATCATTTCTAAATAGCAATAAAATTTTTTTTTAAAGCTTACCGTTGAAATCGAATGTTGTGTTTATTGTTGTGTGAACCATTTTGTACCAATCGACTCTATGTAACGTGTTGCGGATTTTATGGTAAATGTATACCCAGTAAAATACATCATAAAAAAATTACCTGAAAATCTTTAATTTTGTAATAGATACCTGCTTTGTTTTTTGTTTGTTGTTGTTTTTGTTTGTTTTTTTTAACTTTTTTAAAACATTTTAATTGTTGGTTACATTTTTTAAATTTAATTGTTTCTTTTATGTATTATACACATAAAATATAGAAAATATTTAGTTTCGACTATATACTATGTAACAGTGTATCTTGCAAAACATAATGTTTTAGATTATCTCATGCAAAAAATCCAACACCTTGGAATGAGATATCTCCAACGCAGCAAGTAAAAGTGAGAAATATTTTTATTCAAACTTTTTATAATTTTGACAATTGACATTTTTTAATTTTTAATGGAATTACAAATATGTTGATTAATTTTGAGTAAGAAAGTATAGTTATCTATAGTTTGTTTTTTCAAAACACCCCATTTATTACAAGTGAAGTAGTGACGCCAATATTCTGGCTTTTTTTCTTTTTTTTTTTAATTAATCATTTTCCATTATTCGTTTAGCTGTTTAGCTCCAGTGACTATTCTAAACTTGAACCCGTTGCACCTAAAGAAGCTTTCGATGCATTGAAGTAATTGATTGCGTACATTGAAGTAAATGTTTTTTTATATGTGATGTAATATTTTTTTAAATAATATTGTTTTAAATAATATTGTACAAAAAATTAATCTTTGTATATTTGTAATATAATACGACTCGCATCTTTAGAGGAAATAAATATGATATATGATGATAATATTTTTAATGTCTAGAGCATTGTCTAGAGGGTTGAATATATATGTATATAAACAACCCTCGGAATTAGGGTCGGCGTTTGGCAATACCGACCTAACTACCAACCTAAAAGTGTTTGAGGCCAACAAAAAAATGCCGACCTCGTTTCTATGTTTAATGGTAAAACCATTATACCATTTTTTTTTTGTCGACCTAATGCCGACCTCTAAAAGATTGAGGTTGGCAAATTATTGCCCATTTTTCCTAATTCCGAGGGTTATATATATATATAGAAGGATGAATGGACTAACACTATAAAAACTATACATAAGTTACGTATACCACACCTGCAAAGCACGACAAGTAAGACTGTGTAGTTATTACATCAAATGGTGTAAAAAATTGAAAACAGGCTAACCTCCTTTCTTTTATGTTCAATTCCACCATTTTCTGGTCAGTATACATATTTGATCTGCAATATGAGGCAATAATAACTACGCCACTTGAGTATTATAAATACAACAACCATACACGCTCATCCCATTATTTGGGTGTGGTTATCACATGTAGCGGGCATTAAGTTTTCTTGTTGGAATGTAAATATTTAAGTATTAACAAAATTATGAATAAAATCCAATATGGATTCCTGAAGCGACACTAACAAAGTTTGCAAGCCTTGATCATTAGAGTGTCCCGAAAAATGAGATTATACCCTCCAAAATCAAGAAACTATTCCCTCCAAACTATGTGATTTGGTCTATAATGATATAATATATACAAAATTTTACCCCAAAGTTAATAACTTTGCTAGATGTGTAATTAGAAATTCAGAAAAAATTTTTTTTTTACAGTTTTACGCTCATATTGCATATGTATATATATATATATATATATATATATATATATATATATATATATATATATATACAAAAACTTCCTTTCTGTACCTCATTTTCTTCCTTTTCTGTCATTATTTAAGCAAAATATTTTATTTCCAATGTAAGGAGGTAAAGTCCATCTGCCATAAAACGTGCCTCATGCACTGCAAAAAGCGTTTTGTGAAATTCACAAAAAATTTGGTTACTTTAACAAAAACATTTGGTGAATATTTATGCACCAAATGTTTTTGTTAAAATAACCAAATAATTTGGTAAAATGTATTTTGTAAATTTCACAAAATGATTTTGTAAATTTTACAAAATGATTTTGTAAATTTCACAAAATGATTTTGTAAATTTCACAAAATGATTTTGTAAATTTCACAAAATGGTTTTGTGAAATATTTTTCACCAAATCCGTTTGGTGAAATTTACCAAAAATATTTGGTGCATAAATATTCACCAAATGTTTTTGTTGAAATAACCAAATATTTTGGTAAATTTCATTAAAATTGCCTTTTTTTTTGCGCGTAAAAAAAACAATAACTTTTCTTTGATTTCAAAGTCAAAATGGAACTTTCTCTCAAAAACTAAAGTTTAGGTAATATAACTCTAAAAAAAACATAATATTTACATTTGTTTTAGCTTGTATTATTACCGCATCTACAAACATTTTTTTTTTTTACGCATTATGCAACTATACAGTCTATACTTTAAATTTTAAAAAAAAACGAAACAAAAAAACACAAATAGTTTTAAATAAATGCTTTATTTTATCTAAATTAAGATTGAAATGTATCGAAAGAAGTTTATAGATTTAACTCAGATGCTAATTCACTTGCTTTCGGGCACGAAACATCAAAATCGGGGCAATTGAAACAATATATGTATTTCTGTAAAAACATCCAAGCTGGAAAACTCGCAATATTGTATTCCTTATTCAAGACCTAAAGAAAAATAATTGATAATGAGGGCTCATTGTAAAGTGCGTTTGCAGGTATAAAACTTTGCCTCACCTTTTTCAAATCTCGAAAAAATTTCATATGGTAAATTATACTTTGTAAAATAATTATCACATACGTAGAGTAATTATACTTGTTTATTTACAATTGTTTTAAGATTATTTTAGCACAAGAGCGTTTATTTGCATGAATTTTGTAATAACTTCGCAAAAAGTAATGCAAAAAATCAGCACAATTTTTTAAAAGTGCAACTATATGCAATACTCGCTAATATACTAGTATTTTATATAAATTCAAACATGCAATATGTAACAAACATTGTATCAATAACAATATTCGACTCACCTGAATCAGTTTAAAAGAAAAATCCATGGCTTTCAAAGGCGTTTGAAATGACCATCTATGGTTGTTGTACACAGCAACAGCAATGTTTGGAGGTACAGCATAAACTAAAGGTTGAAGTGTGAGCTTCAGATCATTATAAAGAATTCTTATGTTTTCTATTGAATGCTCAGCATCTTCAACTGACTGAAAAAAAAAAAAATATTAAGCAATGTAGTTTTTATTACGCAATGTAATTTTCATTACGTAATGTAATTTTTATAACACCCTTAATATTTTTAAATATAAAATTTTAATAGTTTATTATAAATACATTGGCTAGAAAAAGAAATGATTCGCCACATTCTTTAACACTTGGAGTCCAAGACTTTCTTTTTGCGTCTTTAGATAAACGTATTGAACGTTTACAGCATGTCAACCGCACAATAGCCAAAAGAGCAGCTGTCTCATCTTCTACCTCTGTATTGTGTGTGTATATATATATATATATATATATATATATATATATATATATATATATATATATATATATATATATATAAATAATATATATATATATATATATATAAATAATATATATATATATATATAAATAATATATATATATATATATATATATATATATATATGTATATTTATATATATAATATATATATAAAATATAATATCTGAAAAACCTGTTATGTCATTGGTATATGGAAGCATACTTATATTGTTAATCACAAACTATAATTATAATTTTTAAATAAAAATCTAACCAATTTTTATTAAATGTTTTTTGGCAACTAAGCCTAATAACTGTTTTGCAAGTAATGGAATTTTCTGAAACATAAAGTTGTTACAGTCTACATAATTCTTTTGTATGCTCAATTGCGTAAAATTGATATTTACCTAATAAAAAATAATAAACTCTTCTCTTAATTCTATTTTTTTTCCTATGTTAAACATTTTTACATTATATAACATATATTTAATATACTAACCAATGCATCTGCTTTTAAATCCAAAAGAAGCTTAAAGTTTGGAATATCTTTGCTACCAGATTGAAAACTTTTCAACCTAAATTTAGAAGTCAATTTCCATTTATGGCACACTTCAGTCCATGGTTGACTGTTAAACTTTAGCCAATTAAGGTCATCTTGTACTGCTTCTTCTATATCAATTATAATGTTTAAAAAAATTGAACCAAAAATTTCTTCACAATTTTATAAATATATATAATAGATAAAAAATGTATACAAAATAAAATATTTATCATTTCATCATCTTATAATATCTAAATATTCTAAACTTTCTTTTACATAAATCACTTAAACTACTATTTAAAATAATTTAATATAAGATAAAGCATACCATCACTGCTATCGTGTTCTTCAACTAATTGTTGATCATTTGAACTTTTTAAAATCCCAACCGATTTAATATTTCGCCAAGTGTTGCGAAGCTTTTCTGTCAGCTTTCCACCAGCTATACTTTTTTTAAATGTAGGTGCAGTATACCATGTTTCCTATAAAAAAAAACAATTATAAAAAGCACTTAAAATAAAGGGGTTTAATTAAAAGTTACTTACAAGCTTTTCTGAAGGAAAATGTGCAACAATGGCATTTGCTGATTCAAATATATCTGCATTAGTTGGACGATTTCTAAAAAAATTTCAAGTGACTTCTACTTTAAAAGTAATTTGTCAATACTTTCTTATGTATTCACTTTCCTAGGTTGAAGAGGTCTTTAAAGTAGCGCCTCCTCAACCTGTAGGGGGCTGTTCATTTTTTGATATCAACTTTCAATCCCAAAATAATAGCCTTCTTGCAAAAAAAAAATGCAGCTTTACAAAAAAAAAGTTGCTTTGTAAAGAACAAAAAAAAGTGTAAACAAAAGTGGTTGATGTGGGACTGATGCTTGTAAAGAACCACCCCAAGTAGATAATTCTTCTACCTGATGAAAATTCTAAACTGTACTACCATGGCATATAATTAATAATAGATTGAAACATAAAATTACAATATAAAAATTATGAAAGTAATTAATAAATCTAATAATTTGTTTACTTACTGCAGACCTCTCTTTTGAATAACGTGGTTTACTACTACACCAGCCAACTTGTTACGTAGACTAAATGTTAGATTAGTAGCACTTAACACAATCATACCATCTGTGCAAGATTTTAAGATAGGGGCTAAGCCATTCTGTTAAATTCAAAAATCATATCCCAGGTTTACTAAGGTCAATATATCTTTTAGAACCAAAATTATTATACTTGTGATACAATCTAATAAATTATTCCAACTAAGTGTTAAAATATTTCTTTACTCATAAATTTCGAATATAGTAAAAAAAGTATATTAAAAAAAAATAATTGTAAAACCTCAAAGAGAGCACAACTTTTATTATGAACAATGGTTTTCGATGTAGAAATTACTTTATTAGTCAATACTGTATCTGGAAACATACAATGCTTTTTCAAAGGGCTCATGAAATCATTACTGCACACATTGAAGCCTTTTTCACTTTCATTTAAAAAAGCTGGTTCTAGAATCAGAAAACAATATTATTCAGATCAGTTGCAAATAGTAATACTAGTATAACAAGTGTGAGAGAAATGTTAAGTTACTTAAAAAAATTTAGATAGTCAAGTAAACTCTTATATTTAAACATTTTATTGAAAAAAAATCAAATTTTTAATAAAAAAAAACAACTTCCATAACCAAAAATTTTACCTTTAATGTTTAAACCACTCACCCTAAGTCCCTAACAACTGTTACCTTATTATAGGATAAATTGTACAATAAAAAAAAAATTATAATAGATACCAAGTGTAACATCTTCATTTTCTTTTGCATCATTTTGAGGCTCAAAGAACATGCTAGACATACTGGGAGAAGCTAAAAATTATTTATAAATAATAGATATATTTTTGGGAAAAACTTTATGTTAACTGTATTTAACTTATGAGCTAGTAACACACATTAATTTGGTTTTAACTATATAATGATTTACTATCATTTAGTTTTACCACTAACATATTTTATTTAGGTGAAAAGCAAAATAAATCATTAAAAAAGTGTACTGGATAAAGTGTTCTGCATTGGATTGCTCTTTGTGAAATCAACTGAATGAACATCTTCAATAAGATTAAAACTATCTTCTACTAAAACATAAAAAAGAATTACATGTCAGTTATTTTTGTTTAAAAAAAAACAATACTAAGCATCAAGCTTCTACAGATACAAACTAATTGTATTTTATATATTATTGGCATAATTATATAGATTAAATAATTATGATATTATTGTACATTTATGTAAAACTGGTGCATGATCACAATAAACACACAAATCAAAATCTTTCTCTTTTGTGTACTCATCACAATCACAACTTGCTTTGAGACATTGCATTCGATTTTTTCCTTTTCTATCCTTCATTTTATATGACACTATAAAAAGGCAAATAAATGTTTATATTTTATGTTACATAACACATATAAAACTAGATTCACTTTAATATATAACAATTAAAACTTATTAAATTTAATAAACATAGAAAAAGTCAAAATATGAAGATATTTCATTACTTTAGTGTTCTATGCATTTTTTTAGTTTATTGCATAAGATTAATTATATAACTGTTAAAAAAAAGCAATCCTGAAGACTAAAGGAATTATATATATATATATATATATATATATATATATATATATATATATATATATATATATATATATATATATATATATATATATATATATATCAATAATAAAAGTAATTTCTCGGTAGACAGTGCTCAATACAAAAGTAGAGCAAATATGTATTAAATTAATAATAAAATAAATACAATTAGATTTGAAACATAAGTCAGAGTTTCACGCTTTATGCGATCATCAGACGTTACAAACAACCGTAACAACAACAAAAATTATATGCAAAAATACAATACAGTGTTAGCTTAGATGACGTTAAAGTTGCAAATAACAAATTTGTTTTCGTTAAAGTTGCAAATAACAAATTAAAGTTGCAAATAACAAATTTGTTTTCGACTTTGTATATATATATATATATATATATATATATATATATATATATATATATATATATATATATATATATATATATATATATATATATATATATATATATATATATATATATATTAAATAGATACTTATTTAAAAATTCAAGAAACAAAATAAAGAACATCAAATATTTACATAAAAGTAATAGTTTTTTAAAATAAAAGAAACCAAGTCCAATCTTTATACTTTGTGTATTAATGATACATAGTTACTTTTATTTAAATTTCGCAGTTTTAATGGCCAAGGTGAGATAATGCTATCAAAGTGAGAGCAATTTAAAACAATTTATTCTGTTTCAATGTCAACCTCAAAAGATTGCAAGTGATAGCATTCTGATATAACAAACAACTTTTGACAAATAAAAAAAAAAACAGTCAGTATCAGATATAAAAATTTGTTTGATTATACAAAATTCAGGATATAATTCTCCAACTGCATGAATAACAACATCACCAACTTTAAAGTTAACAAAGTTAACAGAAACACTTTTTGATTGAAAAATTTCTCTGTATAATCCATAGTTGCCTATCAGTTCTGAAACAGTTTGTCCATCAATCACATGACAAAGTAAAATGGGCTCAGTTTTAGCAACACTAAATTCATTATTTTTCAAACCATGTTTCGCCATGAACCTTGTTGACTGGTCCATTTGGTGTCTAATAGCTACTGTTTTACAAATATTTTTAAAATTCCCTACAGATGATGCAGTTTTCTTAAAATCTCTCAGTTTATCTTCACATCGAATCACCCACATATGACTTAGTGGACCAAGCATTTTGATAATTTGTGGATAATGAATGAGATTATGAAACTTTAAAGTTAAGCCACACTTAAATGCATAACAGTATTCTTGTAAAAACTCAGCAATGATAGAAGCAAAGTATATCAAATCAGGTTTGCTAAAATGCAAGCCAAATGAGTAAAAGACAACTTGCCTTAACAATAAAAAAATAACCCAAATGTTGTCATCAAAACTACTAGACTAAATCTCCAACTAATAAAGGAAAGCTTAGAGCTAAATTAAGCATTTCAATTGCACCAATATTAATAAAACCATTTTTTATTTGAAACTCAGTAGGACAAGAAGGAATTGATGAGTGATCATATGAAAAATTTCTTATTCTGCTACTTATGTCACTAAGATTAAAGAATTTTTGTTGAAATACTAGATAATTTAACAATTTATGGAAAAAGTATTTGCAAACGCCTTCTAATAAATCATGCATAATATCGCAATAAATGTTATCATTGACATGAAATGATGGAATTTTGTTAAAACAACATTCTTCCTTTATGCCATTAAGAGAACAATTATTTAAAGAAACATCATAATCATAACATTCTTTAGTTCTAAGTAACTCAACCGATTCAACAAACGTACAGTCAAAGTTTTTGCGCTTTATTTTGCATATTCTGCATGGGTATGTAGCAGTAAAACTTTCCACATAACCCAACACTCCATTTAAACCTAGATTGTTACCAATAATTTGAACAAGCACAACAAATATTTTAAAATTGTTTTCGTCAATTTTTATAGTAAAACCTTTAGTTTCTAATTCTGTCATTTCTTGTATATATATAGAAAATGCATCTTTATTTGAATATTTATTGCGATCAGAAGAGTTTATAACTGCACTTAACAAAATATTATCGAGTTTTGAGTTATGTTGTGGTTTTATGCATTTTAGAATTGTACACAATGCTCCAATTTTGTGAATAGTGCTACGAGAACCAAGTGGATTAGCGGTTTCTAAATCATCAAAAAAACAAAAGACTGGTATTAAAAGAGTATTTTGTGAATGAGCGTATTTAAGACGTAATTGATGATTTTGCCACAATGTAGTATTTAAGACGTAATTGATGTAATTGAAATGCGTATAGACGTAATTGAAATGCGTAATTGAAATGCGTAATTGAAATGCGTAAGACGTAATTGAAATGCGTATTTAAGACGTAATTGATGATTTTTCCGTCTTTAAAGTCTGAAACTAAACCATTATTAGATGGTTTCATATGATTTCTAATTTCATTAAGTACACCAGGAAGACAAAGGAAAACTTCAAGACACTGCTTTAATGAAACATATTGTCCTGTTGCAATACAAGTCGAGCAAACTATTCCTTTAGCTGTTCTTTGAGTGCTTATAAAATGACCTATTGGGTATGATTTTGGTTTTATATAATATCCTTTCTTTTCAAAGTATTTTGTCTGTTTATGTAAACTTTCTAAACCTTGAAAAGGTTTTTTAAGGCGCGAGATGTTGTTGCAGAAATTATTACATTCATCAATTTGGAGACCATGTTTGTCAAAACTTACTTGGGCCTCATTACTAATTCCTGTTACAATTGACGTAATTAAGTCTGAACATGCATCAACAATTTTCAATGTAGTGCTTAGTGGCAGATTAGGATAACTTCTCAGTTTTGAAATAAAATAGGCAGAGTCTTCAAAAATACCATTGCAATTGTCAAACCTAATACCAAAATTTCTCATATTCACTATGCTAACAGATTCTGTACTGTGGATACCTGAAGAGAAGTCACTAGAAGAGTCACACGGCTTATAATCTTGGCTTTCCAAAATATGTTCTAAAAGAACTTCTTTATGAGATTTTTCAATATGTTTTATAAGACTTTAGAAAGAATTATATTCTAGCGGACAACCTTCCTGTCTGCAAACTAATCTCTCACCATAACTATGTTTATTATGAAAAACTTTTAAATGGCACTTATACAAATTGCTAGATCTTGCAGTATATTCACAATAAGCACAGTTAATCATAGTTAAAATGATATTAAAAGCAGTCGGTTGACAAACAATGAAAAATTAATGGCGACATAAGTTTTGTTTTTTCACTCGAGATTTGCAATCCCGCGGCGCTTTTGGTGAAAGTAACCAAATATATTTTGTAAATTTTACCAAATTATTTTGTTGTTTTATGCGTGAATACAAAAAGCAAATAAAGAAAGTAACCAAATAATTTGGTTAAAATAACTAAATCATTTTGGTAAAGTTCACAAAAGGTTTAGCTTTTTTCACCAAACATATTTGTAGTTTTTACAAAAACTACCTAACCAAACATGTTTGGTTAAATTAACAAAGCGATTTTTTGCAGTGTGAAAGGTGCCAGGTTGTTGGAATTCAAAATTAGTTACATTACCACCAAGATAAAAAACAACAAGCTGGCAAAGGTTCCTATAATCAACTCTTGCAAAAGTATTTTTGAGTAGAGCTTTAGAACAGGAAATAAGGGCACCTTTTGCAAGATTTTGCAAAATTCAATCAACTACTGGTTGTATCGCAGCAACAAGCAAATAGTTAATTAACGCACTCGTAATATTTTAATAACTTTATAAGCTCTATTGCATGGCATGCTGCAGTACCATTTTTTAGTTGGACAATCCTAAGCTATATATCTCAATCAAGGGTATCTGGAGAACTAACTTTCACATTCAATCTGTCATAAACAATAGATATTTTAAGATCTTCTGAAATTTTTTTAACTAGTTTTGTGTCAAAATGTAGAACGTCTTTTACCTCTTAGTAAATCAATTATTTGCTTTCTTAGAAGAATAAATAAGAAGAGCTTTATAAATAAAAAGAACTTTCTAAGAAGAAATTCTACTTTACAGAATTTCTTCTTCGAAATCTCTTCTGACCTCTGTTGACTGAATTACCTAAAACCGTTTTTCGTGAGCAGATGATCTAGAGGTGTTTATCTCTCTAAAATTAATATTAGATTCGGAGTTGTTCTGGAAATAAAATAAATGCTTGATTATAAATAAAAATTATTTTTAATAACGTAGTAGTTCACAATTTCTTTTTTTTTTTTTTCGTTTCTTTTTTTTATTAATTTGTTCTTGCCTAGCTAGCACACGTACGTTGATAAAACGTATGACCAATGTTGCACGCTGCGTTGGCCCAACATCAACCGCTAACGTTGTTTTATATCATTTTGGTTACAAATACAACGTCGCCAACAACCAAAAAACAACGTTGGCCCAATGTTGTATTTCAAGTTGGCATAGCGTAATATTTTACGTTAATTTAACATTGTACTTTACGTTGGCACAACGTTGTATTTTAAATTGATTCTACGTATATATAATTGTAAATGTATACTTATAAATAAATTTTTTATCCATTTTGATGAATCAACATTGCTAATAACGTTTGATTTTGTTGGGTTTGTGGTTTATATTCTTCCGGCTAATTGCCATACGGAGGCTACATTACCAAGGACCGCAAAGACAAGTTCAGCTAATTAATAGCGAGTTTAGGAAGAACGAATAGAAAACGAAAAGAAGAAAGATATGTTAGAGTAAAAGACAGAAGTCGTGTTAGAAAGATTGCATAGAAAAGTGGACAGGATTGCACTCGATGTTAGAACGTACAATATGTTGAAAACATACAGTTAATCAGGTCACCTAATTAATGTACGGATTATTCATGTTTGTTTTTTACTTGTGGCTAAATATTTTTTATATAAGAAAGAGAAAAGTATATTAGCAAAATATATTTCCATAACCAATTGAAATATTTAGATGAAAAAGAATTCTTATAAATTATACAAAGTATATTTGTATATCTCCTTTTTCTTAATGCAAACACAACGTTGATCCACTGTATATAATCCAACGTTATTCCAATATATAAGAAGCAACGTTGATCCAATGTATATAATCCAACGTTAATCCATACACATTAGATCAACGTTGGGTTAAAAACATTGGCTCAACGTTAATTCATATACTTTGGATCAATGTGGGGTTATACACATTTGGTCAACGTTGATCCATATACATTGGATCAACGTTGATCCCTATACATTGGATCAACGTTGGGTTTTGACTGGAAAAGCAACCAACTTTCACGATGTTTTACATACGTTGGACCAATGTAATTTTCCTAACTATTTTTAATCACATCGTTAATAAGGTGTTTATTATAGTCAATATAAGTACGATAAAACTAACGTTAGATCAATGTTGTATTTGCATCGGAGAAAATAGCCGACGTTTGCCATGTATTTACATTCGTTGGCCCAACGTAAGTGTGCTAGCTGGGTAAGTAAATAATACAAACAATTACAATTAAATTAACAAAAAACAAGTAGGAACTGAAAAAAACGAATACGAACTGAAAAAAATATTCATTGTTTTATAGGTTACTAATTTTAAACTTGCTATTGTCGACTAGATAAACCATAACATACAAGTATTTTCTTTTTCTACGGACTAAATTCCAAACATTTAGTCTTTTTTTTTTTTTTTTTGGGAAACCCTATTGATCATTTCACAGATAGAATCAGCAAACTACTTAGCAAAAAAAAAAAAAAATCACATCGAAGATCTTTATTGACCAGTCAAGAGCATTTCACATTCACTTGGGGCCTTGGGGTGGAAAAAATTTTCTTTGCTATCATTTGTTCTGGTAAAGTCTGACCGTTTTTCATTAAATAAAGGAAAATAGCAAATTCTTTGGTTAAAAACCAAATCGTCGATTAATCAACAAAATCATATCAGTTGCAATACCTGAATCTTTTTCTTGATACCAGTTCATTGCAAAAAAGACTTTTTAACTAAATTTCGATTAAAGTTGCTGCTCTTTTTTTATTACTTGGGTATCTGGCTGTTGTATCGACGCGTATACTAATTTTCCAAAAAATTTTCCAAAAAATTGTTAGTATATGCGAAAAAAATCTCCCAGTCAGCTTTAATTGACAGAACTTTTTTCTGCCACGCAAATTGTTTTTGACGATGCACGGTTGATACTGACATTGACATATTTAGTTTTTATATATTATTTTTTTATATATTAAGTTTTTCTCCGCTTTTACAGATGATAGTTGATTGAAATAGAAGCTGTTGGCAAACTGATAAACTACATCGGTCTTCCACAGATGCTGTATGTCTTCCACAGATGCTGTATGCTTTTGAAAAAACTTTTGTTGATATTTTGAGGGGCTTTGTTAAAAGCGTCTTCATTTTCTTTGGAGGTAAAGGAGTAAACTCCGTATCTATTTGATCTTCTTATCAGCACTATCAATTAATTCAGTTGACCATCGGTTGACCTTCTTCAAATATCAATGCTCAGTCTAGCTTCTTGACGTTCTAAACATTTTGAAACACCTAGATTGATGCTATCTATCATGTAATATTTTCTCTTACTCTTTTGATCTTCATAAAATTCTTCTTTTCATTTTGGTCTTATGATACCAACTACTTGTCGCGTTGGTTTGACGCGTTGTTACTTTGTTACTAAAAATACTTATATGATTAATTTTTATTTGTGTATTTTTATACACCAACCAAAAAAAGAATACATAAATAAATAAAAATAAGATAAATAATTTTAGTTAAACATAAAAAATTTATTTTCTAAATTCTCCTAGTATAAAATTTTTAGTTAGAACCTTGTCAAACCAACGCGACAAACTGTTAATGTGCATTTACTACTGAAACGTCGCTATGTTGTTCAAGTTCATTACGAAATCTGACAATTTTTTTTTCTAGCTTTAACATTTCGACTTGACAGCTTAATTATCTTTATTTTAACCTTTTTTCCTATAATTTTGCAAGCAATGAAAGGCAAGAGTTATCTGATTGAATTGGTACTCCTTTCCCCAAACTTCGTTTAACTCACCAAGAACAAGGTGTTGGTTTAAAAAAAAAAATGTAAATGAGAACATCTAGCTAACGCACGTTTTTTTGTAGGTAGGCGATTGAAACTTTATATACGTACATAGAGATGTTTATTTCGCAATGCAAACTATTTAATCAAACAATAACTTTTAGTGGTCAACCATGCTCAAAAATATATTTTGCATACGATGCACAGAAGGCCTGAGGTGAGTAAAACACCAGAAAACCAACTTTAGTGTAGTCAAAATAGACTAAAAATGGGGTCAACCTGGACAAAATTTGTAAAAAGCAGTGTTTGGTATCATTAGAAGGGTAATTTTATGTACTTTAAGCAGTAAAAAGTCCACTAAATAACTATTTAGGAAAAAAAAGTTATGGCTATTTTACTTCGGGTCACTATTTTCCATTTTTGACAATATTATAATCTTATGGAATTCCTAATTATGCTGAGTTTGATTATTATTGTTTATTTATATCAATAAAATGTAAGTTTGTATAATTTATTTTTAATTCTTAGCAATTTATAAAATGAGTTTTATTTATTCAACACAGGGGATCTGGTACCAAGTTTAACACGCAATATAACAAGTTTTTGTTATATTGCTACCTTTTTTATCTTTTTAATGCCAAATAAATAAAAATATGCCAAAAATAAAATGTCAAACTTTAAATTTTTTGTACAAAAACATTGAGCATTAATCATTTACTGACACATTAATGCGCAAAATATTTCTTTAGAAATAGGCATTTTAGATTATTTAAAATTACGAAAAAATGGATGACGGTATTTGCATTATCTGTGAAACAACCAACGCTTCACTTGTGGGAGAAAAAGGAACAAAAACTATATTTGAGTTTTCAAAGCTTAGAACTGATTCCCAACTAACTAATACAGCATCAAGGTTCGTTCTGTTTGCAGAAAAAATTATACAAATAAGCGAAGGTTGTCAATTACAGAAAATTCTTTTAAGAAAAAACGTAAGCTACGCTCAGAAGTATGTTGTAAATGAAATGTCAATTCGGTTAATATACTAAACTATATAAAATAAATGTACATGGCAGATGTTAAAAGAGTAAAAAAGACTTTTTGAATAAATTCTCGGTAGTAATAATAAAAATAATAATTATTTAAGGATATTTTTTTTTGGAAAAAAAAACTGTTTCATTTGTGGAAGACTAGCTATTGTGGTTCCTAAACATCCAGATCGTGTCAATATAATCCATGTAGAAACAATATGTTGAGAAGAAAAGCTTTTTAAAATTTGTGAAAAGAGAAATGATGATTGGTCATTTAGTGTTGCCACCGTTTGAATGGATACATTGATTTTGTTGCCAGTGAAGCTGTGTATCACTCTAAATGCTATCAACTATTTTCAATGAATAGACAGTATGTTAGTTTGATAAAATGAAAAATTTTAATTAAGAACTTGTTTTAATTAAATAAATTATAGTATAACTTATTTATTGTTTGTTTCTTTGATTAGATTAAATTCATCTGTTTCAAAACCTGGTCGTAGTGAGGATAGCAAAATGTCACAAAACTTTTATTAACTTTGCATGTATTTTGAAGATGCAATGGCCCTTGTGACAACGTGTGATATGCATACAAAAATAAATGAACTTGCTGAATTGGATGACAAAGTTTATTAGATGAAACAAATGAAAAAAAAAGTTAGAGCTTTGATATGGCAATGATATTGTATTCGTAAAAAGCGACGGAAAAACTAACCTCATTTGTTTTAAAGATACTGCAAATTTCATAATTCAGAAGTCCATAAAAGAAATGGCACAAAACAACATAAGTGAATGTGAAAGAATTATTAAAACAGCTGCAATTCTTATAAAAGTCGAAATAAATGCTCAAAACTTCAACACCAAAGAGTAACCCTCCAACTTAGATATTGAAAATTATCACAATAGCTTATCTCCTTTTCTTCGTCTTTTTATGAGAATTTTGATAAAAGACGAACTAAAGCAATCCTCAATTGGTCAAGCAGTTACAAAAGCTGTAAGGTCAAGATCATATATACCACCATTGCGGTTTGGATTAGGTGTGGAAGCAGATCATATGTTTGGCTCCAAATGGTTAATAAATCAGCTATTCAAACTAGGATTTTCTATTAGTCCGTCCGAGGTAACTCGATACAAGCATTCAGTCGTTAGGAATGAAGAAAAAGCTATTGTAGCGTCACTTAAAGGATCTTTTACCCAATGGGTAGGTGACTATGTTGACCATGACATCTGCACTATTGATGGTAAAGATACATTGCATGGCAAAGGGGATTATTGCAGTTGATACAAAAGATCTAAATCAACCATTGAATATACCAATTCGAATTAAAAGAGTATTGTCTCAAATAACAGAAATGCACTCCCAGAATAAGTTCCCAATTCTTTTGTGCGATACTCCAGAAATGTCTTGTTTGTCTAAAATCATTTTCAAGCCTATTTTTCAACTTCAATCACCTTCAATCATACTTTTATCTACTGAAATTGATCTTTTGTGGCATTTATTAAATACATTTTGTTCAATTAGAAATAGACCACAATGGAATGGTTTTAAGCAAAAGCATCAAAAAAGTGAAAATCATTCACCAAAAAGTGACTTTTTTATGCTCCCTATAATCAATATTAACCCATTAGATAAAAACTGTATTTATTCTGCTTTGATATTGGTAAAAAATCAGGCTAAGGCTTTAGGTGTTCCACCAAGTGTAACATTTGAACAACCTTTATGGATAAAGGCATTTGAAATTGCAAATTCCCAAAATCTTGGTATAGTTGTTCGTTTAGGGGGTTTTCATACTTTAATAAGTTTTCTTGGATCAATTGGGACAATCATGAAAGGTTCAGGATTTGAAAGACTGTTAGAACCAATATATGCAAAGAATTCAATATGCCATATAATTTCTGGGAAAGCAGTAGCACGAGAACTTTGTGCACACTTTTTAGTTGAGTCGGCCCTGACTACACTTCTTCTAGAAGGTTTAGAAGCAACATATGATCAATCAGCTCTAAAAGAAATCTATCAAAAATTAGTTAACCAAATTATAAAGCTAGACAATGTCAACAAATCTTCAATTATTGCAGTAAGTCAAAAACAGCCAAACTCTGGATTGAGTATCTTTATTATGTAAGCATCATCAAAATGTTTATACGAGCAGAAAGAACTGGTAACTGGGATGAACATTTAAAAGCTATGAAACTAATGTTTAATATTTTTGAAGCAACAGTACACATTATTTATGCTAAGAGCGCACGTTTATACCTTTATAAAATTCAATCCTTAAAATTTGATCACCGGATAATAATAATACCGAATAATAAGATCGGATATCAATGTATCAGAAAAAGTAATCGTTGTTGGGCAGGTTTAATCGTTGTTGGGCAGGTTTATGGCCTGATTTAGTCATAGAACAAAGTATGATGAAAGCGATTAAAAGCAGAGGAGGGCTAACACATGGAAGTGGTATGGCCACTAGTATTAGAGATCTTTGGGTCAATACTATGCATGAACGTGCATCAGTTCGTGCAGCAATGACATTGGTCACCAACCAAGATTATACAACCAACACACAGAGTGTGTTAGTTGTATAATCTTTCTGTAACACACAGAATGTGATGATGCACGACAAATTAGAGATGAAAAAGATCTCAAAGTCATAATAGAACAACTTCTTCGGTATAATCCATTTAATTGCCAAGACCAAAGACTGCGATGCATTTTTACGAGATTAACTGCCGCTGAAAATGATGGTATAAACTGTGATGATGCCGAAAAGATAGGATTAAAGATTCAAATGGATCTTGACAATATAGTTGTTAACAAAGCTGTTGCAAAACGTTCTGAAAAAGCTAAAAGTCTAATAACGTTACACCCTGGAATTAAAGTTAATAATGAAACGGTTCATGTGAACCCAACTATTCTCTTTCAAAGACTTATCATGTTAGCTGAACAATCAGAAGACATTACAAGTTGCTTTGAGTATGAGCCAACACCTGAACTAACATCGCTTTTTAAAGATGGTCTTATGAGGACATCCAATAAAGCATTACTTAGTAAAGTTCTTATATGTAATTCTTCAACTAAACAATCAAATAAGCTAAACAAAACCAACTATGTTTTAGATGGGGGAGCATTACTACACAAAGTTCTTTGGAAAATTCCTTCTACATTTGGTGATATATTTCAATAGTATTGCAATTATATTGACCAAAAGTATGGGAAAAATACAACCGTGGTTTTTGATGGCTACAAACTTTCGACGAAAGACCATGAGCACCAAAGACGAGTAAAAGTAAAATTTCCAGATCTTGCTCTACATCTTCAAACGGAAATTAACTGGAAACAAGCCGATTTTTTATCAAACAAAAACAACAAAACTAATTTAAAAATTTAAAACTAAATAGCTTCTTATCAAGTGCTTTGATATTACATGGTCATGATTGCACTAGACAATGACGCTGATAAAACTATAGTTTTGAAAAGTCTTGAAAATGCAAGCCAAGGAAAATATACTAGCGTTGTTGCTAATGATACAGACATACTTGTTTTACTTTTGAACATGTGGCAGCTATCAATGAGTAATATTTTCATACGTCATGAAGCTCGTAAAGGCATCTCATTATTGCCAACTCATGTAAGAAGCAATCTACTATTTATTCATGCTTGGGGCGGATGTGATACTACATCTTCATGTTTTGGGCAAGGAAAAACTGCTGCCATGAAGCTAGTAGAACAAAACAGCATTTTAATTAAAAAGGTTTGTCTTGTATTCAACAACCTTTTTGCAACACAAGAACAAGTTTCATCTGCTGGAATACAATTTGCTATAAAAGCTTATGGTAATGTAGAGTATTTCAAAGATTAAATATGATAAAAAAAGTTCACTAAAAAATAAAAAAATTTATATATTTTGTTGAAAATTAAATTTTAGGTGAAAACAACGAAAAAGGAAGCCTTGCATTGATGAGAAAATATAAGTATATGCAAATGGCAACATCATCCTTTAAAGATATTCAACCAGAAAGACCTCCACCAACAGAAGATGCAATAAGATATCATTCTTTAAAAGTGGACTTGTAGATTTTGCAATGGTTGAATATTGAACATAAACCAATTGAGTGGGGATCGAGAAATCAAAGCAATAACTTAGTCTCAATAATGACAGATAAGTTAAAGAAAAAGAAAAGAAAAGAAAATTCGATTGAGTAACTTAGGTTATGTTATATGTTATTCGATATGTAAAATAAGTTAAAAATATTTTATTTCATTTCAGGCTGCAGCATCAGAGCACATTCTTAGCATTATCCGATGTAGCAGTAGTATTACAACAAAGAAATCTTGCAACAACGCTTGTCCTTGTAAATGGCATAGTATTAGGTGCATGAGTGCTTGCATACAGTGTCATGTAATAGATTGTCATAGTTTAATGTCTTTGTTTGATAACAACGATCAAGGAGACAACGTCGATGAAGTAGAAGATAGAAACATATTTGATAAGTGGTTCAATTTGTTTGAATAAAATCATTTTACACTTGTATTGGGTGTAATATACTCAATAAAATGAGAAATTTTTAATTTTTTTTACATTTGCATAAATATTGAAAAAAAACCTAAATTTCTAAAAGAACAAAAAAATGTGGGGGGAGGCCACCCCCTGGCCTCCATGGTGTCGATTGGATGTATTGTATTTTTTAAAAATTGCCTATTATATATTATATATTTATCATTTTTGATGACATATTAATAAATAGAAAAACCATTTAGACATTTAGTGCTTTTTTAATGAAAGTGTTAAAAAATGACGTTATTACACAAAATGTTATTGCGACAAAAAATAGTGTAAATAATTTTGCCCAAAAGTTTATTTGGTGGACTTTTTCCTGTTAAATGTACATAAAATTGCGGTTCTAACGGAACCAAACACTGCTTTTTACAAATTTTGTCTAGGTTGACTCTCAAGTTGACTACACTACTTCTATATTGGAGTAATTTCTTTTCCTAAATGCAATCTAGAGACTCCCAGCACTCGTAAAACTGATATAATTTCTTTCCTACTATAATTTTTGAGCTCAGTTAATTAATTTATAATTTTTTTCCTAATATAATTTTTGAGCTAAATTGATCAATTTTACCACAAAAACTGCAATATTTTACCTTTTAAATATTGGTCACAATGAAAAAGATATACAAAAGAGGTTAGTAAGACAGTTTTACAACATTTTAATTTCTTAACGGTATATATTAGTCCATAAACATTATATATTGATATAAGAAGAAGTATGAAGATCTATTTTTTATGCATGTATTTTTTTAAAGTGATTTTCAATAAAATCTCTTTATATGCGCAACCTTTTTTTTAACGCTTACCTTTACACATGCAGAAAAACACAAGGCCATAAATGTTATAAACCTCTCATACAAAATTTAAAACAAAATTTTCTGAGCTCAGCTGAGCGAAGTAAGGGGCTAGACTTTTTGTTATAAATGATTTCCAATCATACATTTTGCCATAAAAAACTGAAGAAGAAGCATAAGGAACGTTTTTAGCTTTTTAATCATTTAAGTCCTGTTAAAACCTACGGGCACACAGTGAGTCAAAATCCATAAAAAACGACAAAAAAAACCCCATAAAAAACTAGAAAATAAATAATTAAATTATAATGTAAGTAAAAACCACTAAAAGACAAAAGTTAATTTTTTTGTGAATAATTTTTAAGATTTCACCAATTTATACCCCTTTAACCGAGACTTATTTATTTTATTTTATTTTATATATTGGAAAACTCTTTTAAAAAAGTCTCGCTTTAGTGTCACTCCTTTAAGATTGATATGGTAAATACAATTCAAAATTCAATTAGAATGCCTGTAACAATTAACATTTTTGACAATAAATTTTAATTTTAGATTTTCTTTACTGAGATCTCAAAAATGTGTCATAAATTGATTTTTTTAAATTAGTTTAATTATGAGTTTAGTTCAAAAACTAAAAGATTCCACTAGATTCCATGCTAGTTTTAACATTTTCCCATTAATATGTATATATGAAAGCAGAAAAAGTAAAAATTATTTGCTTCAACTTGCCCCACTTAAAATAAGACCTTTTAAATATTTCGTTTTTTTTTGTTTTTTTTTTTTATTTTTAATTAAAACTTGCGTATAAAGTAGCGAATAATAGTTCATAGCTTACATTCATCACACAAATAATACATTTAGTTCCTGTTTGTAAAAAAACTCACTAATTATCAAACCTCAAAAACCAAAATATGCAACATTTGATGGCATAGTGCATGTTTTAAAATTAAAACTTGCGTATAAAATATCAAACAATATAGTTCATTGCTTACATTCGACATGCAAAGAATATATTTAATTCCTATAATTCAAGAGTTAGAAATTAATTATGATAATTTACTCGAGGCTCTTCTAAGTGAGTTTTGTAGACTGGAGGATCTATACTATGAAAGTATTGACAAACCTGAAATGATAAATCTAAAGAAAACTTTAATAATATTTAAATATAAACTCCAATCAAAGTTGCGGAAACATTAAAGAATCTTCTTCTAGACCTTTGCAGCGGGTCTTGTTAGAAAATGCAAGAACTGGGAAGATTTAGGTGATCGAAGCAGAAGATCTGAGTTAGTTATTAATCAATTAAATTCAATTCATTTAAAAAAATAGTTTACAAGCTTAAATATTAAATATTACCTTTTATTATTATAAATAGGTTGCTAAATTAGCTGAGCATTGTGCTAAAACATTGTGCTAAAACATTGTGCTAAAACATTGTGCTAAAACATTGTGCTAAAACATTGTGCTAAAACATTGTGCTAAAACATTGTGCTAAAACATTGTGCTAAAATATTGTGCTAAAACATTGTGCTAAAATATTGTGCTAAAACATTGTGCTAAAACATTGTGCTAAAACATTGTGCTAAAACATTGTGCTAAAACATTGTGCTAAAACATTGTGCTAAAACATTGTGCTAAAATATTGTGCTAAAACATTGTGCTAAAACATTGTGCTAAAAGATTGTGCTAAAAGATTGTGCTAAAAATTGTGCTAAAACATTGTGCTAAAACATTGTGCTAAAACATTGTGCTAAAACATTGGCATTAGCTTCAATAAAAAAAGACACTAGAGATCCGAACAAAAAAGATTTTGTTGCTCTCATGAAAAGTGCTACAAACTCTAAAAAAGATAAAATTACGGAGAGATGTTTTCCGATAAAAAGAAAAACCGACGATGCCTTGAGCTTGAAAATTCAGTGTGACGTTTCTGATAAACAGTATCAAATTATTAGAAATTCATCAATGATACATAATGCAGGTATGTATTCTTCATTTCATGAAATTAAGAATGAGAGACATGAATGTTATCCTGAGGGTTTAATTGTGAAAGAAACATCTGCTTCAACTCCTCCACAGGGTATGTAGTATATTTAATCATACTCTGACAAGGATATATCAACTTTTACGGAATGCCAAGACCCTATAAGATTGTTTCCTAAAATTTGAGGGAGGTTTAAAGGTCTACTTCACTTTAAAAGTGGTTTTGATGGTGCCTCCAGTCAAAGTATCTATAAACAAATATATACTGATAAAAATATTGGTGAGGCCCAAGTTAACGACCAAAGTCTTTTCCAGACAGCTATTGTTTTACTTAAATTAACCATCATGAACAAAAATGTATGAGTTATTATGAAGCCCTTAAGTACACATTACTGTAGACTCTAACATCTCCAATATTAAAAAGAAACGGATGAATTGACAAGAAATGAGTTTAAAAGCAGAAATGAATAGACTAGTCAAGTTTGAAGTAAAGTTAGAAGTAGAGGAAGGCAAACCAGATACGACTATCACATTTAAGTTCAAACTAGATTTGACTATGTTTGATGGTAAAGTGGTTTATGCCCTCACTAACACTCTGTCCTCCCAATCATGCTTTGTTTGCGGAGCTAAGCCCAGTGAACTTAATAACCCAGCATTGATCAAATCTAAACCAACTAATGAAAAAGCTTTATCTTTGGGCCTTTCTACTCTGCATTGCTGGCTTAGCAATGCAGAGTAGAAAAGCCCAAAATGATTTTTTATTGATATTTGGTATATTTTTCTTTTGAATATATTTTACGTTTAGGATAAGCTCTAAAGGTTTTGGCCAGTATTGCTATGAAATTACAGCTCTTATACTCAAAAGCTATTGCTGGTATGTGATTCCCCCAACTGTTCATAAACTCTTGGAATATGGTGCGCAGGTATCTGACACATTAGAACTGTCTATTGATTACTACTCTGAAGAGTTACAAGAACCTCTAATTAAGGAAAGCTAGATTAAACCATAAGAAATCTAGAAAGAATATTATGAAAAACTAATTCCAGTATCTTGAAAAACTAATTCCAGTAAGTTGAAAATTGAAAAACCCTGAAGTTTTATCTTTGATAATGCTGTAATAATGAAATGTTTTTTTATCAATATTTTGTTTTCTTTTTTGTTTTCATTGAAAAAAAATTAGATAAGATAAATATTTATTTTGTATTTAATATATTTTAATATTGCCATAATATTAAAATAATTTTTGAATCCAATTTTTCTTTTTAATTAGTGAAAACCAAAGTTTGAAGTGTTAAATTTTTTAAAATTAAGTCAGTCTTTGTGCGCGTAAAAGATTCTAACACGTATATGCATGTATAGTATGAGCCTTATGCACAAGAAAAATTTACATTTAAAAATATGTGGTACTCTATTATATGGTATTTTGGATCAAGGAATCCAATTTTTCTATTTAAATTCTATTTTAATAATAATAATAATGTACACTATGACAACTGATGAAATCAATTGTGGAGCACAACAACAGAAGATGTTGTGTTATAACAGCTATAAATGTTTTATAATAGCATTGTTTACTTTTCAATGTATATAAATATTATTTAGTATTTAATAAATAATTTTTGCAGTAATCTGATTTATCAAGTTTATTTTTGAATTGGTCAATTGTCATTGATTCGATAATATATGGTGGTAAACCATTCCAAGCATTTACGACTCTACAGGAAAAGAAATTATATCTATAATTGGTCTTACAATATGCCTCTGTTAACTTTTGGTTATGACTACGAAAATTGTAAGGTTTTAATTGAACTTGAGATGTTGAATCGATTATCCAATTTATTTTCTCATAACCGTTTTGTATTTTATATTGAAAAATAAGATCTCCTCTTATTTTTCAATATAATAATCTCGAGGGGGCTCTAAAATTTAAATGGCTATAAATTTTGAACGCTAAACGATTTTTTAATCAAACTTTAAATATAGATACACATTTGAATTTTATTATAGGAAGTAACTTTTTTTTTTCAAAAAATCATTTTCCCTCTCATTTGGGCGGGTGATGCCTACTATTTAGGGTATTTTTGTTCCCAGGTTTTAATCAACGCAATTTTTGGCAAAGCATTCCTAAATGACATAAGTATGAGGATAAAAAAATTTAGAGCTTAGAAGTTACCATAAAGGTATTTAACTCAAGTACCAAAAAAATCCTGGATCCGCCCCTGAAACCTACTTTAAATTACACTTAAAATGTTGTTGTGGAAAGTTATGGAATATTCTATTACGACTATGTAATTTTCGTTTAATAGTTTTTTTAGTTGTAATTATTTTTATTATGTTTAAGCGGTTTTTTAATGTACGTTGTTGTGGATAATAGTGTTGTGTTAAATTTATGTGAAGATTCAGGGGAAAGTCAATAACTAAGTCAATAGTCAATAACTCCAATCAACCTGAGAAGACCACCCAGTGGGCACTGTACGTCCTAAGACGACCGACGGACGACCGAATGAACGTCCTGACGTATATTGGACGTCTGTTAAATGTTTTAAACGTCCAATGCCCACTGGGTAAGAAGCTCTTGATCTACTAACGTATTGTGTATGATGTTATCACCTTAATTCTTATTTATAAAAAAAAGTTTTATGTTAATAAAATTCAATTTTATTGTACGTTACATGTTTATATTTTCAATAGAAAAGAAATTAAGTACATAAAACAAATAAAAATAAAAATAAAAACCATCTTGACAACCCATGAACACACCTAAAATGACAATCTGTGCAACTACAACCACTCCTGGAGACCAAATATATTCAGATTTGAATTCCTTGATCTCTATTATCTATATTTAGACATACAACCTGTCCCATATAATTTAAGAATCATCAAGGCATCCCATGACCACCCTTGAAAACCCCTAAAATGAACACTTGTGTAGTCATGCCTACTCTAAACTTTAAAAGGAGTCCGAAAATGAATTCCTTGGTCCTAAAAACCCCTATAAATATGTATAATATGTTTATATTTAATATAGTTTTGCCATTTTTAAACAATTTTGGCCCACACTGCAATACAAAAACTTCTTTTAAGGCATTAAGTCAATAGGAACAATTTTTTTGTTAAAAAATATGTCATAAAATAAAATTTTATATTACGGCGACCTCTAGATGTTAACCAACTTTTGATGAAAATTTAGCCGAATACTTATCTGATAACCTCTATTATATACACCAAGTAACATAACATAAAACTAATTAATTTTTAAGTTATCAAAAGTTAAAGTTGATAAAAGTGTAAAAAAAAGTCATTTTTTTAAGATGGTTATCTTTGCATAACAGGGTAAATCCGATTATTTACCTTGTTATGCAAAGAACGTGACCATTATTGAAAAATTACCAGTAATGAAATACCCAAG